TCGTAAATTCGAATTATTTGCGAACTTATATCAAGCGGTGTATGAGGGCGAAGTAAAATTGCCGTAACACACACACTATTACATGGTAGGACGTGTGTAATGCTCGTGACGATCGATACACGTAAAGTATGAAAAAAAACTCCAATTCCGTATATATATATTATATATATTTTTGTAGAACGGGCGATAAACTCGTATCGATGCTTTTCTCATCTCTTCGAAATCGTAAACTCGAATTATTCGCCAAGTAATACGTACCATGTGCGACTGCGAAATAAAACCGAAAGTAGGAATAGAATAGACAAGAGGAAACTTATCAGAATCGGCTTTGCGTATATATTTCCCTTAAGAAAACATTTACATAGATTCTACGGAAGGAAGAGATAAAAAATGAAGAATTTTTAGTGGTTATCTTTTACTGCCGGAAAAATAAAACGTTGTTGTAATAAATTCGTAAACACAAGTATCGCGCACACGCGCTCGTACTTCTATCGTCAATAATTATATTGAGCAAAATAATTTAACAAAATAATCTAACAGCGTAATAAAATCATAGACGTAATACGAATAGACTGCGCATTCCTGAAGTTGTCAATATTATATAGTTGAGAAAAAGTAAGATAACTTAAGGCATGTCGCTCTCTTTCTCTGTTTAAAGTATCGAATCGAAAAGATATGCTGATAGAGTTCCAGATAGATGCTGATATTCAATTCTTTCTAACTGAGCACAGAAGCTAAGATCAAGGAATGCGCAAGTCTATATCTCTTACATCTATGAATAAAACAGCAAGTACTTTGAAAGATCGATTTTGCTCGAGTATCTAAAAATTTAAGTTAAATTAAGCTACAAATCTGAAAATAATTTTGTTAGATTATCAGAATAATTATGTTAATAGGAAATTGAAGCATGTGATGAACAATGTTGCAAAAGGTTTTGATATTTTAACCGTTTGAGCGTCCTACATACAATAATTATTTTGATAGTCTAATAAAATTATTTTTTTAATTTATATCCATAAGCTAAATTTTTACTTCAGCAAAATCGTTCTCTCTCTTTCCATGTATTATTTGTAAAACTCATTGATATTTTGGTATATATTTATTGATAAAAATGTTATTAATGACTTTTAATTAATGATTGTCAATAACATTTGTTTAATTTGTGTATTTTATAAATTGAAATGAAATTTTAACAGCTTTAAAAAATGTTATATAATATTATATTATAAAAAGATTACACTACTTTAACGTTAATTGTAAGGCAAATTAAAGTATCTATCATTTAAAATTTTAATTAAATCATCTGTTGGATCTTAATCCATTTATTAAAAAAAATTACTCAAACGAAGTAAGATTTTATATTAAAAGACGGATATTTTAAAAGCTGAAAAGGAAAGGTCTAATACTGAATAAGGAAATATAAAGTTTTAGGTAGGTGATTGCAGGATAATTTAATCAGTTTTAATTTGCCATGTTACAATCTTGGAACTTAGTCCCGCGAGGGTTAATCGACCTGCATACAAAACGCGAGCGATGCTGCGAGCAATTTGCCGTTTTTCTCGGCGCGCAGTTCGTTCTAATTTACAGAAACGCCCGCGACAATCAAAGTGCCGAGAGTGCTCCGGGCAAAGGAGAGAAATGTACTTTGCCCGCCGCTTTGTTGACGGTTCAACGGAGATTTGCTTTGGATCCGAGGACGGCGATCAATTTGGCGCGAAATTACGCTTTTCTAAGGAACACATTTTGCACATTGCACGACAATCTTTTACATTTCGCCAAGCCCGTTCAGCAAACTGTCCGTCGGTTTCTTTTTTCTTTCACCATGATTGTTCCGCGAATATTACTACGCTTCGCGTTGTTCTCGTAACATTTCCTTCTCGGTATTAATATTTTTCAGTTGCGAACATAATGAAGCAGGAAATTGCATGCATTGACTATTCCATCGCGGTATATACGTAGCGATAAAGTGAAAAAGTTCAGCTTTAAAATTGCTTTGAAAATTTAGACATAAGAAAAAATTAAGCTGCCAATAAAATTCTCTTGTTTGTTTAACATTTCACATTGACTTTAGTGTCAAAGAATTTTCTTTATTTAGAATGCGCTCGTATTGAAACATTTGATCTTGAGGATAAAAAAAATGCGAAGGGATGTGGCAATCGAATTTTCGCTAAGGTAAAATTGACTCTAAAATGATCAAAGGATACTGCACGTTTTGGCTCACTAATCTCGTTATCTCGTGCATACTTTAATGAATGAGTACTATACAGGCCACTCGCAATATTCGTTTAGCATATTATCTCGTAGCTTGCTCGCGCTTGTGGAGAATTTAAATTAAGAATTAAATTTAATCATAATGCGCGAACATAAAGTTATCATGGCATTATGAAAAATTTGTTAGAACTCTGTTATAATCATTAAACGCGCATGTATGTTGCGTTTTAAATAAATTTAAATTCATCTCGCGTCAGTTTCAATCTACTTCATGAACAAATCATCAACAACGAAGTTCGAGTTTGAACAAATTACCAAAAAAATCATTTTTTAACATTGCATAATACATATGAACAAATCATATATATATTACATACAAATAAACGCATTTTTTCATATGTATTATGCAATATTAGAAAATGATTTTTTATATAAATGTACCTATACCATATCAAAACTATGAACAATTTTATTAGAACAAGGTTTACATGGTACTTTTTTTGCACTAACAATTAATGTGCTTTTCTAGTTTACTAAAAGGCTAGTATATTGAGAGAAAACAAAATGTCATTATTATAATTTAATTATAATTTAGTCATTTTCAGTGCCAAATATATTTCTTTTTTTGTAAAACTATAAATATGATAATTACTATCGAGTATATAACTATGAATATAGTGTTTCTGATGATAATTATTTTATCATGTAATTATAATTACATTATCAAACACTGTTCTCTCAGTGCACGCTAGTTGCTAATAAAACGGTTGCTAATAAAGTGTGTAAATCATTACATAATGTAAAATAAATTTCAGTCGAATAAAAATTTTAGTTTGTAAAAATTAAAGACAAATTTGAATTTATCAAAATAAAGAAAGACTCTTAAATTATATCTTTTTTAATATCTGATAACAATGCGAATTTTGCAAATAAACTGCAATTTTGCGAATAAATCAGTAAAACTTCCCGTAGATTTTTCCGGATCGTCGTCATCTCATCAAAAATGGGACTAGACCTTTGAAATCCTTTGAGATGATCTCGCATTTGTCGCGCGAAACGACGAATACGCTAATCGTGTGCGAGGCGTAGGCTTCAAAAAGCTTCAACTTTGTTGTCACGGCACCGGTGACAGTAAACGAGATTTTCTCTCGACAACGCTTTCGTTGCTATGCCAGTGTCTCCGTGCGCGGACACTATCGCTTTACGCGAAATCAGATTCCGCCGCGAAAGCAGCTTACCAGCGAGATCGGAGTGTATACGCATGTACCTATCCAATCAATTCTATCATGTGTACATATAGGGTGTTTCGACTTTACAGGTAGGGACAGATGAAGCCGATATTTCCCCGAAAAACGTGAGATGAAGTTTAACTACGATATTAGAGAGCTTAACGTGTAAAGCTTAAGTCTTCCGGTGGAATGTGCTACAAGTATGTACATGCATAATTGAATGAATCCTTTTAATTTAATTTGAAATTTGACTACTAGGTATAATCAAAATTAAAAGATACAATTTTTTCATATAGAATACAAATATGGAATTTAGTAAAACTGACTTTCATGAAACAATTATTTTCAAATGTTCTTTTTAATTCCAGATCTGTATCTTTTATATTTGTCTTTTTTTCACTTAAATTACAAAATTACTTTTCTAACTTTTGAACATTAATAATATCAATTAAAACGTCGACTCTTTGATTTCGTTTCAACAAAAAAGGTTAATCTTGTTGAGTTACATTTTCTACATATTACTGTAAAAACTTTTGTCCTTCCCATTTGATTTCCTATTTAGTTTATATGGAAAGGACGGTTTTCCTGAAGCATCTGAAAATTTAGCCAGATATAGATCCAAAAATAACTTCATTGGGTTATCAAATTAATTACGTAGAAATATAATATTGTCCATCAAGTATGGACAATATTGCAAAAAGTTTTGACATTTTAGTAACCAGTTTAAGCATTCTATATAATTATTTTGATGGGGGGGGGATTTAACAGAATTATTTTTAGACAATATTAACAATAGAATAGGATTGTTTATATGAATAGGTACATAAACTAAGTAAGAGAAGCGTCAATTATGCTCAAAGTTAGACGTTGGAATAATACATCTATATGCATTTTAAATAAATCCATCGAACTTGCAAAACACAATATAATCTAATTTAACTCTAATTTAATTTAATTTGGGGGAATATTATTATTTCAGATTGTGTTGCAAACGCAGAAGTAATCGGCGGATAGTCATATATCATAAATTTATTTAAATGCATATATAGATGTATTCTTGCAAACGCCTAACTTTGGCACTTCTCTTACTTACAATTAGCTGACGTATTGATATAAGCTGGTCTATTCTATTCTTAATATTATCTGAAAATAATTATGTGGTCTAAACTGGTTGCATTACAATGTCAAAATTTCGAAATATTGCTTATCGTGCTTGAGATTTCGACGTAATTATTTTGATAATCCAAGTTATTTTCGGATCTAGCTAAATTTTTAGATATTTAAAAAAATTGTTCGATTCGTGCATGTCATGTATTTATTGATTTTATCTTTAAGCAAGTGTAACGAAGCAAAGCGGAAATAACGGTTCCGTTCACTTTCAGCACTTTCGGCACGCGAAGATAAACTAGTACAGCTTCGTCTATATAAACTCTCGATCTAAAGAACACACGAAACACATTTCCCGTGGCCAGGCGAACACGTACACGCCGTTCAATGCAATACATCGATACGGCAGACGGGGAAGTTGACTAGTACAGAGAATGCGGAAAGGTACTTTACCGGTTCGCCGTTGATGGTCCAACGTAGATTGGCCTTAGGCACGGACGGCCAGGCAGTGCAGTTGGCAGTCACGTTCTCGCCGGGGGCATAGTGCAAGGACAGGCCTGTGATTTCCGGTCCCCTCTCCGGAGGTGCTGCGAACATAAATTTTCCGTGTGTGAGACGTGGCGAAAGTTTTCACATAAACCAGTTACTTTCCTCCGGTTAGACTCTATAAACTTTCGACTATTACCTAGAGTTCTTCGTGTCTGTACGTTCGTCCGTCTGTTCGTTTGTTCGTTCTAGCCTTGTCGTGGAGATAGGTAGGACTAGAAATCCTCAACTAAGAGATTGGCTACTGTTCGCCATATTGAGGAATAACAGTGCTTAAGATACAATGAGATAGATAATTATAGATAAGATACGCTGTTAGATATTAAAGGGACAATTTTCGTTGCGATAGCAACGAAAATAACTTAACTTAATAACTTACTTAACTTTTTTTTTAACTTTCGGCAGCATATGCTTGCGATCTGACACGGTCTTCATTTTTCAACGCGCTTTTTCGCGATCTCTCGAAAATTTCCCCTGTATACAGGGGAAACAAGTGGTAATGAATTTAGATATCCTGATGCGTTTAACTTACAGAAAAAGATACATTTTCCATCTTCTCTCGCGAGATTCCTTTTTGAGTTCATCGACATTACGTGGAGTAAGTTCAGGATTAAACTGACCGCATATAATACTGCAAATCGATAGTGCATGTAACGTAATTATAGATTTTCAGGGTGCTGAAAGTGAATTTTTTTGAACACAGTCAAAATGAGATATATCCATCTCATTCTATTTTATACATCTATTTCATTCTATCTTGAGCATCGTCCTGAATATAAACCAAAAAGTTGTCTAAACGGTGACCAATCTCTTACTTGAGTATCTCTAGATATAGAACAGGAGAAATAAGAGAATCAGAGAGAACTCTCTTGCTTCGCGAGATGCAAGTTTAGCACGTGAGATGAATTTTTTGAGCAATGTTTTTCATACAAGGCATTTTCGTAAACGAAAAATAAGGACGACAGTGTGTATGTGTATATATATATATATATATACACATATAATGTATATATGTGTGTATATATATATATATATATATACTCGTTGATATTTTATAAATGATTGGAACAGCCCTCGCAAATAATGAATTTAACCTTTGAGCGATGGGCTGCGAGTTGCTAACGGCGAGATGGATGAGAGCCTTCTTTTATATATTAAGCAAAATAGAATTCCGACAAAATAAATCAAATTCAGATAGGTAATTCAGTGAGTCTGTACACATCGATGATGAATAGTGAATGATGGAGCGTTGAATTTTACTTCGACACGAGTCCGATTATATGTATGAACGATTTCGAGAGGTGTGCATTCCACTTATATTTTTCCTGGCGCTTTTTCCTCAGTCGATTCGAATTCCCGTTTACTTTGTTGGAACGACCCCGGCGACACCCGGAATAAGTTTCGCGACCGCACCGCTCAGCACGAAGGGAATTAATTTTCAATTAAATCGGACGCGTGATTTTTCCTGATCGTAATTAAACGAGAAGGCGCATCAGCCCATGAAATATCGACTCGTGCTAAATGTAACACGCGAATAGTGCAATGAACAGTCGTAATTTTGGAAAAGATTATGGAAGCGGAAAAATAGGGGATAATAATTGATACGAGCTTTATTCTGTATTCGCTTACGTGACAAATGAAATTAGAATGTGCAATGGCAAAGCCGATTGAAATGGTTACGTTTGTGACCGCCGGAGCGAAAAATTACTAAATTTTACTCGCGTTTGACATGGAGTACCGCGTGTGTTTACAACGGGACAATAGCCAAGAGCCATAATTCTCCGGGCAATTAATCACTCGGTGGATTAATAATTAAATCCAACGTGGTAACTGTTATGCTTTCGAAATACCATCGCGTAATTTATATACAAGTGTTTAATAGTTTATCAGCTGAATAATAGCAAATTCAGTATGGATTTATGTACTTCAAACAATATTTTTAATAGGAAAATTATTTACTTATTGAACTTATTCTATTGTTTAGAATGTAGGAAAAATAGGGATTTCATCTCTTTTATGGTATTACGGAAAATTCTATAAAATTATTTTTATGAAATTAAATTATCTATAATGATTTTCTAAACGTCATACGGAAAAAATGCACTGTTGCATGGAAAATTTGTGTTAAATTTAACACATTTCATGTGTCTCAAATCACCTTCCGCTCAAATTTATATGTTAATTTAACATAAGATGAATATGCGTTAGAAGGTAACAAAAATATTACTTTAAAAAATAAACACAAAGAGGTAATACTGACACAATTTGTAAACAAACTGTGGAAGCATTCTTTTTTCAGTAAAATTTACAATTATGATATGTTAAATTAACATATTGGATTAAGGAAAAAGTTTTTTTATAAGTTGATAAAGAGACCTTTCATCAATATCTTCGTTAAAAATGATCAAAATTTAAATAAAAAAAAGGGTTTTAAAGCTTGAAGTTTCTACACTGAGAAAAATTTCCAGACTTTATCCGTTCAAAATGTAACAAATGGATATTTCCGATAGATTTTGATCGTATATTTAGGACTATCCGATAAAATATTAAGAAAATTTTATCCGATAGTCCTAAATACGATCAAAATTTTATCAGGTAGTCCTAAATATACGATCAAAATCTATCGCAAATATCCGTTTGTTACATTTTGAACGGATAAAGTCTGGAAATTTTTCTCAGTGTACTTTCGAATGGTTACTATATTTTTTGAATTTATGTGAGTTTTGTAAGTTTTGCATATATAGAAAACTACGAGCTCTGAAGAAATGAAAAATTTTCTTTTCACTTTGTAGGTCTGTAACGTGCCCAAAAAAATTTTCGATTATTTATCGTGAAAGCTTGAAGTTTTTCCTATAAAATCGTTTTTTAAAAATGTTTCTACGATTTTTTGTTCTTGAATTACTCGCCGATTAAGTAAAAAGGAACACTTTAACTTTATTGTTCGTAACTCCGTTATTAAAAATCATCATATTGCAATTATAGATACAGATTCTTGAAGCTAAAAACGTTGCTCTATCAAGTGGTGTAATTGCCATTTTTTAAAAAAAGAATATATGGGTTGCTAAAAGTCTTTTTACCAATTTGTAGACTTTTTTCCTAACCCAATATTTTATTCATTTTATAGAATTTACGTTTTAAAGCTATTTATTCATTTATTCATAAATTGTGTTATTTTGACACTAAGAATATCAATTTAACACAAACTATTTAAATGATATAATCATATTATGTTAAATTGATACTCGAATATGTTAGAAAATTCAACACAAACTGTTAACAAGAATACGAGTGATCCGTTTCCAACACAAATACACACTGTTTTTTACTATGCAGGACGCTCGAGTTGGTTGCTAGAATGTCAACATTTTTTGCCGCGTGGCTCATTACGCTTAAGTTTTTTATATAATTATTTTAATGTGTCTCAATAAAATTATTTTCAGGTGTGTATATAGTTAAAGTTTTACATGCTTCAGCGAAATTCTTTCCGTGATACTTTCAAGAATTCTCACTAACAACGACTTGCTTCCGTGAGATAATCTTAAGTTTTCGTTTTTTCGTACGGACCATCGCACATGCGTCGATTCACAATCAATTATCGGATATCGTGGACCGCTGTCGATCGGGTGCGTGCTGGCGCGCTCGATGCCTCTAATAACGTTAATTGGCACACTGGATTATGAGAGACATTCGCGTTCGAGCGGGCGCGATCGAATGCTCAATTAAACATCCGCCCTGTTGTCCGAGTGCACGCGTTGCACTAGCACGTCGCGCTGCAGATCCGCTTCGGATTTGGTCCATTAATGCTTTCCGTCCTCTCCTCTTTCACCCCGAAATATCCGGGGCGCAATTAAAACCCAGCATTTCGGAGTGCGTCACGCGCGGGGATCTCCTCCGACCGGCGCGGCGCCGTTGTCGATTTCACACCGAAACGCGAACGAACGGAAGGCTGAAAAGGGCGTGAAAGAGCGTCAGTCGAGAGCATCGCAGGGTGGTAGTATACAGGGGAAATTTTCGAGAGATCGCGGAAAAGCGCATTTGAAAATGAAGACGGTGTCAGATCGCAAGCATATGCTGCCGAAAGTTCCGCCATCATAATTTCGGCACGCATTAAGCTAATGGAACCAATTATTTTGCCAAGATTGCCGGTTTCTTCCGTAGAATTTTACTCATAACGATGCTTAACAACAGCCGACTCGAATCCTGTTGGGGTAGAAATATAGACTCGGAAGAAATGGTTGTTATAGTCACTTGTACTTTGAAAGAATTGTTATAAAAACATATTAAGTCGTACAAGGAAGATTTAGCAAACGAGTAGTTGATACTTGATACAATGTATAATTAACTGAAATAAAGTAATTTTTCAGTTACTCTCTTTGGGCCCTTTGGAGTTGACGGTACATCTATTAGAATATACATCTATCTATTAGAATTATAAATCTCTTTGTCAAAAATATCAAACAATTTGATTTTCTTTATATTATATCTGCAATAAATTAGAATATTCTTATCAAAATATACCTAATATTGATTAATAATCTTTAATATTTTTAAATATTTTTTAGTAGTACAACACGAAAAGCATGATTTTGCTGAAGCATGTAAAAATAAGATACAAATCTGAAAATAATTATGTTGGTCCATCTAAATAATTATATTAGATGATCTCTCAAGCTGATTGCAAGAATGTCAACATTTTTTGTACACGGAGAAAATTTTATATTAAGTTTTAATACAATTTTAAATTATACTTTACTATGTCTTGTATTTTCGATGAACCATCACAATATGATTCCATTTATATCACTAATTTTTATCATATAAATAAAATAATTTTTATTAAAAGCCAGTACTTAAGCCATATTCTAACAGTTAATGAAAACAGTTAATTTTTACTATGGTACGCAAACAAAATTTGCTAGGTATATATTTTTTATTTATCTTTACAATACTAACTTTTATTCTACAAGTTTTGATTTTGTAATAAAAAATTTTTACTATGAAAAAGTATAAAAATTACGTTGCATTATTGTTTTCAAAAAAA